TGACACCAATCTTCGATAAGGTTGTAGAGCATACCTGATTTTATTTAAATCAGTGTTAAAATTAATCGCATTTCTTCGTGATCGCATGTGTGACAGAAAATCTAATTTAAAACATATTTCACGTAAATTTTTGTTTTACTTTAAATGCTTTTTATCATCTTTATTGACAATCAAATAGAAACATTGTTTCATGGAGAAGACAACATTTGAAATATTTAGAATTATTCAAATTTCGTGGCGGAAAACGTACATAGGTATTGTATTTTTGAAACCGAGTGAGTTGCGCGAAACTAAATCTGTACAGGACATTAATTGTCGACTCGTTTAAGAATAAATTAATAGAATTTTTACTTAAACTTCTACATATTCTTAGATAGAGATCTAACGGAAATACGGGTGTAAAACCTGTAGCAGCCTCCGGTATCGTCTATAAATGAGGAAGCTGCAAATACCTCTTAAGTCTCCTTTATATCCTGACAAGAGATAAAGTCTGCAAAACTATCTCAGGAATGCTTCCTTAAGCTTTTCAAACATTTTTCATTTTAATCGTTTATTTATCCGTTGGTTCACCTTCCGCAGGTAGATCGAAAGCTTATTAAAAACAGCAATATTTATTGAAATTAATTTAAAAATGTACGTGTAATGTAATAATTTGTGAAAAACAGGGTATTTTACTAAGTGGATACGTACGGATTAAAAATGCATGGGTTAATGTGACACTAAAGAGGAATTATAAAATTATTTTAGTCAAAAATAAACACATTAAACGCAATTCGCAAAGCCATAATAATATTTATAATGCGAATCTCACTGTAAAAGTGGTTTATTTTCGTGGAGTTGTTGTGTTTATGGAGCTATTTAAAATATCAATGAACAAACGGATTTTTGAGAGTAAATATTTCTGTTGGCCAAAAGAAATATACGCTATCATATTTATATAGTACTATTTTAGAAAGTCCTTGTAAAATGTTATATTTGTTACAAAAATTACATCACTTTAGATTATTCTTTGGGTGAAAATATGACACTTTTCCCAAAATTGCTACTATAAATAATAATCAGAATGATTTCATTAAACTTGTTTTACATTTACGTACCGATTTTTGAGCAAGTAAATTGTCTTGAATTTTAAATGTAATACATAAACCGTAGTACATTTTCTAGGTTTGGAGATAATTTGATAATTTTTTAAAAATTTATTCACAATTGTTACAATTTACAATTTTGACACTGTTTTTATTTTACATATTTAAGAACAGACCTGGCAAATTTATTATAACACTTAAAAAGATGCTACAAATTGTAAAAGTAATCAATTTCTTTAATGAATTGATCAAAAACTGATAAAATTAAACAAGTCTAAAATTAACTATAAAAACAACTTGGCAACATCAAAGGTTATTAAATTATAAAACAAACATCACACTAGCCGCGCTTGCATCACAGCCCACCTGATTCTTCCCCTGTACGCCAACTTTTCATTATCATCTACCCAAGCGGAAGACCGGAAGTCCTGAGAAATTAACACGCCCGTAATTGCACCGGCTCTAATGGCAAATGCTTGTATGCCATGGCTTTAAGTAGAAAATAACCATGACCGTTTCTACCTGTGACTGTTGAATAATCTCTTACGTAACGGTGGGACAATTTGAACCAGTTTATTGTAGGATGTGAGTTACACTTCCCAGAAAGAAGAGTTAAAGTTAAGGGTAGCATAAATACCTGACTTTTATTAAGTCAAAGAGGTTGGAAGGCCAGCAATGGGATCAAAGAGTTATAATTTTATATCAAAACTTGTTTACCACAAAGTTTAAGGCACGTGTTGGAAAACTTGAAGAGTGATTGTAACGCCCATATTTTTAGTCATTTAAAAATGTAACAATTAGATCACCTCGAAGGAATGTTGAAAATACGTTGGATCTGGTGACGAAAGATGATTTTCTTTGATGTAAATGTTAAAGTATATGAAGTATTTAATATATGTACATAGATGAGTGATAGATACACTCATTCTAGTTATAGATGGAGAGTTTTCATGAAAATAAACATGCTAGAGCAAAATAAAACGAATGTTTTCCAATGGACAGTTTGCTACACTATTCAATAAACTGATCGCAGATAGTTTCAACTAAAATAACTACAAAGTTAAAGAAATAAAATATTAAGTAGCAAACTTACTTAAAATAGTTTAATGTTTAATTCTAATTTCATAATAAGTGATCGGAATAATTGATTCTTTTTTGATGACTTTAATATTTCTTTCTATATCTTTGTAATAGTAATCACAGAGGCCTAATAAATCCAAAGAATAACGATCTTTAGGAGATTGTCAAAGCTAAATGTTTGAAGGTATAATAAAACTTAACCTACTTATACAGAACTTGTCTTGTTGCCTCTGTACAAGCCTAGAGATCTTTTAATTCTATGACAGAAGCATATTATGACAAAAAAATGTTATTGAGGTTATTGGTTCCATGAGCTAAATTTGCCTTAAATAATAATCGTTAAAACTGTTTTTGTGATATTTCACTTTATTGTTGCTTTACACATATCAGATTAATGAAATTATTTTTTAATTTTCATTGCCTTTGTGAAAGTCCAGCTAAAAGTTGTTGATAGTTTCCAAATTTTCAAACAAGCAGTTTACTGTTGAAATGTGTGAAATTAGCTCTAAAATTTTAATGATCCTCGTTATATTCTAAATTTTATGAAAATTTTTAAATAATCATTCATGAAACCTTTACAAAACGAACTAGACTAAACAGCATTTAAACTGTTACTTGGATATATTATTCTTGCCGATATTCATACAAATTTTTATTAGAAGATAATAGAGTGCAAAACTTGCAACTGTAGTTAAAATACATTTAGCAATGAATTGCTTGTTATTACTACGCAAAAACCTCTTAGCCAACGAGCCGACATCTACCATTTTATAATAGCTCCGCGTTAGTATTAATTTTACTGTCAAAAAACGCGAACCTGATTTGCTCTAGATCCTGTTTCGCGTGTGATTTTTTTTTGCCTTCCTCGCAATAAACGCTGGATGCGATGAAACGAAGCCAACCGGCAAATAGGATTAGTTTTATTTTAGCTGTTTACGCCAATGCTAGGCAGGAAAGGTTACTATCGAGGTTACCGTAATGCCGTATTTTTAGATTGCTGCGTTTTAATTTAAAAGTGATTCCAGTCTGGAAAGGGGTTCGCATGATTTATTTTCAGTACGGAATTATGATTGATTACGCTGCGTGTTGTATTTCAAAATTAAAATTGCGTTCCGACTGACGTAAAAGTTCAAAATATCTCGGGAAAAACAAATACGAAACATAACCGGTAATAACAAATAAAGGTGTTTAATGTTACTGATTGTGAGATTGGAAGGCACTCTGAATACCTCATAGACATGATGAAATACTCCATTCGAATTATTGAAAAACAAATTTGATAAAACAACACAAATCGGAGCGGTCAAAGCGTATTTATAGAAATTTCAAAGGGTTTCTGAAACAGATATCTGAATTGAAGTTTCATGTAGTCATTTATCACTTCCAGCGGCATATTTGTGTGGTAGATACCACTATTACGAAATAAATGTTATCGCTGCCAAGCTTTACGTCTTTATGAACCTAAATGTCTGACATTTTTAACTTCTTGCGGAGAAAAACTGGGAAGGATATATTCTGAAAGGTGACTCATTTAATATTGCCGTTTGATCTAAATTCGGTTTTTGCCTGACCTGAAATATTGATTATATTATTTTTAAACGCCTGGTTCTTTTTATAATCCAACAATTGTTTCTTTCGTTCGCCATTGGTAAGTGGGCTGCAATAATTGCTTTTGAAAGAGTTGAATTCAAAACGACTGCGTCATCAAGATTGAAATGTACTGTTACTTTTTTCTTTTCAGACGACGATTGCGAACTCGACAGATGTTAGATATCAATCACAAACTAAAACCGCAGCTATAAATAATAGATGTGCATGCTGCGCTCAGATGCAGCTTTTGAATCAATGTTATTTAAAAAAGTTATTGCATGTAAAGGGACTAAAGTTTAGAAAAACACCTTTCGAATGATTCTAATAAATAAAGTCCCATAAGCCAAATGGCACAGCAGTAACTTCAACAACAAAGGGAGTAAAATCGAGATTTTATTTGCTATTGTTAAGTGATTTATAAGTATTTTTAACTCAGGGATTAATAAAACTGGGATAGTTTAAAAAGGTGTCGAAACATGCAGGGTGTCCCATTAATATTGCGAAAATTTTCAGGGGGAGTTTCCTTGACCAAACATAAGAAGGAAAGTTCCTATAAACCTATGCCCGAAAATGCTTCGTTTCGGAGATACAGGGTGTTGAAATTTAGAGAAAATACAAGGTTTTTACTAATATCTGGAAAACCCTAATTCTGATTTTTTTGAAATTTTGTCCCCGGATGCCGCTGGAATAGATAAAATAAATCAAATTACGTCAGAAGACGTCTACCGTTTTTATAAACAAACATACCAAAGTTCAAAAAAATCGGAATTAGAGTTCTCCAGGTATTAGTAAAAACCTGCTGTATTTTCTCTAAATTTCAAAACCCTCTATGTCCGGACATAGGTTTATAGGAACATTCTTTTTTATTTTTGGTCAAGGAAACTCCCCCTGATTTTTTTCGCAATATTAATGTGACACCCTGTATACATTTATATGAAATTTTGGAGTCACTAACTCAAAGTTATTAATAGAAAATGTGACTTAAATATTTCGATAATTGCAAACTTACGTGATGTGATATATTTTATTCTACTTTCCCTGCAGTTACATACAATTGTGTCAAATTCAACAATTACATTGTTTCTAGGAATGCATTTTAATTGCTCCATTCTTCGTTTCTAACTACTCTGAGGTCTATTTTAAAATTAAAAATGTTGTAACTGCTTGCAATTACAATAATTACATAGAAACGAATTTAGACTAGTTTTTTATGTATGAAAAATTCATGGATTGTTTCTCTTCCAGTTGTCCGAAATCTCATGGGAGAGCCAGACTACAGGCAAGTAAGGCTCCATTGGGAATCGGAAATCACCGCCATCCCCAAGAATGGATTCAGCGTCCGGTATTGCGAGCTGCAGACCTGGGGTTCCCAGAGGTGTAGGTCCCAAGACGTGAAAGACCCGTTAGAGAGGAATAACATCGAAACCGATGAAGAGTACAAGACCTATTCCACGGATATCAAGGGCTTGAGGATGGCCACGAAGTATTCGTTTGAAGTAAAGGGTGTTAAAGACAAGGAAGATAAGGGGGAGAGAGAAGAGCGTGCGGATGGGGATGATAAGAACCAAAATATCATCGTGATTCCCACCAAGGGGTGTAAGTATTATGTTGATGGTTTTTCCTTAACGTATGAAGAATATATATAAATTTTTCTAGACAAAAAACTTTCATAGTGCTTTTTCTTATTAATATAATTGACTATTTATTTTTGAAGATTAATTTATTGAACAAATTTTACAAGCCAAACCAGACAACAATAATTTTTCTTATTTTTTATTCCATAACTTGTACTGTCATATCTAACCATTCTTCTGGAACCTAAACCACTATTTTATTCACTTTCATTATTTTCGTATATCATCTTTGACTGTTATGGAACTTTCTGAAAGAAAGTGAAAAACCGAAGCATACTGAAAACTTTCCATTATTATAGTTGCTGGTTTCGTCGGAAATAATGGCGTATTTATGGTCAATCAGCTCGCATATCTTTCAACTAAATTAGTGAAGAGTGAAACATCAACATCACTGCTTTGATGTCCTCGCCGGTCCGTGTTACGCGCATTTTCATTACGCTTGGTTTGCCCAACCACACGACATAAACCTGATTAAATCGTGGTTTTATTAAAATATTCAGCAAACTGCCAGACGTGTGCATCGCGGTGTTTGAATCAGTTCGCAATTAACTCAGGAGCATTAAAATATACAATAAAAAAGTTACTGTGTACTTAATTTTATCTCGAAGTATAAATTTGTATCTACAGCACGTAATAAGATTCATAAGAAAATTATTGTAAGCAAAAATAAAGATTCGTTTCTAGAAAATAGTTAACTAGAGGTTATTTTTAATATTCAGTGGTAACTATTTTCTTTTTGGCATCACTGATTGTCTGAATCTGTCTGAACGAGTCCGAGAATTGATCCTCGAGGAACGTCCAACATTTATATATTCTGATTTTGTTCAGTACATTGCCGTTTGTTTTAATGTGAACGCATAGTTTTGTACGCTATTCAAGCAATCGGAAACTAGAAAAAAAGTATTTACTACACTTGTGGGAGACGCAGTGCACCCCAGAAATGTTGATGGGTTCTAGAGAACGTCTCGCAAGCAGTTATTGAATATTTGCTTTTGATTTACCTCCACATGGCCGTTGGGATACAAACATTATCATTACTAATATTATTATTACTATTATTACTAAACAAATGTGAGGATTTTCTTGACATTCAAGAAATTATAATAACAGGAAGCGAGCCTTCTTGCTCGAGCGGGCGGTTTGTTTACGGAGATAATTCTGGCCTTAAGCGCAAAATCCTTCTGGCTAAAATTTGCATAATAACGCTAGTAGCAAGAAAGGATAATTTGCTGTGACACGTTCTTATTAATATTACGCGGCTTTATGCAACGTATCGATAATAGTTTCCTGTCGCATTGAAATGCTGCGAGATTTTCCAAACGGATGAGTAATTCATAGAATCACCGAGGTTCTTGCAATTAGTTTACGTTGAAAAAAATGACCTACAGTTGCTCGCTCGCATTTTTATGACTAAAATCCATTGTGTGCTTATTCAGGAAAAAATGGTCCAACGGCTAACAGTAACCCATTCGTTCCACACATTCCGTGGATTAATAATCTCGCCCCAATTCGTGGCGTCTTCAACTACATGCGCTTTTTGTAGAACTGCAGAGCCAAACTCGTGACGATGCGCCTTTGTTACGTAACGGTGAAATAATATTGTGTAAAACGCGACGGGAAAAAAAATTAAGTGCAGTTAATCCCAGAGACCTGTGACGATTAAAAAGGCAACAGCCTTTTACGGCACGCTCTTGACTAGACCTACATGGTTGTGAGACTGTGTGAAAAAATTGTCTGTGGAGGAATGAGTGTGTGTTGATATTCTTGGATTCGATGCATTGGAGTTATTTTAACTAAAGAATCGTACTATACAGCTAAAAGAATAATTTGAAGGAAATTCTGTATTAAATAGGCTTCAGAAAAGTTACGCCGCCGTTATTATAAAAATATTTAGCTAAAGGCGCCTTCTAGTGGTTAAAAAGTTTTTTTGTTCAGTTTTTATCCCATCTCCATATTACGGTAGCAATTTTTTATCCTAGCAAAAGTTTATATCGCGATTGTTAGGTTATCCTAGGACTACGAATTTTGTGACCAGCATATCTTCTTTTACTTTAAATAAGTGGTTTTCTAGACACTAACAACTATTTTTTTACCATAACTATATACACTTAAATAGATTTGTTTGGATTTTACGAAGCTATACTACACCCGAACAGATTCCTTTTAGTTTTCGAAACAAAATATTTAAACATTTCTAAATCTGAATCATTATCAGTTATTTGACGTATCTATTCAAAAGTTGTGTATTAAATAGTACTTTTCGCATTTTGACTGACAATATACTATTTTACTAAATTCAAAATCGTTTAGTAAAGTCATACTTTACCACATGAAATGTCACTTTATTCTAAACCTAAATGTCAGTGAAAATAAAACAGTTTGACAGAAAAGTGTTTATTTAAATATTGGAAACCCTATTATATACATACAGAGTGGGCCACTAGTGTGAGAAAGTAAAATAACTCCCTTGTTACTCATAATACAGAAAAAAAGTTTATATAAAAGTTATACAGAATCAAGAAACCTAAACTACAAAATTAATTTGATACATACAGGGTGATGGGTAAAAACGGGACACACCAAATATTACATTTTTTTAAATGGAACACCCTGTATATTTTTAAACATGGATTTCCGAGAAAATTCTATATATGGCAATATAAACAGTTTGCCATTTTAGTGCGGGTTGCCAAGTTATATAGAAAATTCTTCGAATTTTGGAAAAAACATGACCTCGAAAAAATTATATTAACTTTCAACTACTAACACTTGGAGCAAAAATATTTGACAGATCTATAGGGTAAATGTTACGCAAAGACTCCTATATTAGCTAATATCGATATTTTATACAGGGCATTTTTTATAATACGATCATTTTTAGAATGTTTAAACTTGATTTTCTGAAATTTTTCGAATGGAACACCCTGTATTTTATTGTTCTATTTTATTCACATATCGGTCCACTTCATCTTTTATTAAGCATGTTCTATATCTAAAATTGTTAGTTTTTAAGATATAGCAACATTTCTGAAAAAAATTAATTTTTAATAGTTTATAGAATACTACAAGTAAATATTAATTAACTCACAATGTAATGATAAATTATGAACTGACAAGTTGACATAATGTGACAGTTTTTTTCCAAAGCCATTTCGTGCGACCGAAAATAATAAAAATTGTTTTTTTCCAGAAATGTTGCTGTAACTTAAAAACTAACTACTTTAGGTGTAGAACATACTTAATAAAAGTTGAAGTGGACCGATATGTGAATAAAATAGAACAATATAGGGTGTTCCAAAAATTTTAGAGTTTGAACTTTCTTAAAATGATCGTATTACAAAAAGTGCCCTGTATAAAATATCGATATTAGCTAATTAGGAGTCTTTGCCTAACATTTGCCCTATAATTCTGTCAAATATTTTTGCTACAAGTGTTAGGCTTGAAGTTAATACAACTTCTTCGAGGTCATGTTTTTTCCAAAATTCGAAGAATTTTCTACATAACTTGGCAACCCCGCACTAAAATGTTATGTTTAAAAATATACAGGGTGTTCCATTTAGTGCTGGCAACTGAAATCGGTTTTTTGGATAGTCAGTTAACCGGTTTCGGATAATTCAGATTTTTATGAAATCCGAAAACCGGTTATTCGGTTATTCGATTCTTCAAATATCCGAAAACCGGTTATTCGAATCTTCAAATATCCGATTATTCGATGATCTACTTCCTTTTTTTTTTTAGACAATTTCTCCGTGTCTGTCTTTGTAAAGCACCGATTTTCAGATATCCGGTTTTAGCGATTCAAGTAACGGGTTATTCGAATAACCGGTTTTAGCAACTATTCGACTAACCGGTTTTATCTGTAATTGGTTTTTACGGAACCCGGTTAACCGGTTTCACTTTTTTCCGGTTTTTGCCAGCACTAGTTCCATTTAAAAAATGTAATATTTGGCGTGTCCCGTTTTTACTCATCGCCCCTAAGAATCAATTCGACTGACTAACATAGCATAGCATAGATCTAATATAAGTATATTAGACCTACGCAAAAATGATACTTAACTGTTATTATACAGGGTGATTCAGGTTTAATCAGGATAACTTCAGGGATCGGTAGAACAGATTAAAAGTATGTTCCTTCATGATATAAACTTATTTCCTAAATCGTACCGTTTCGGAGATAGAGGGCGTTGAAGTAGGAATTTTGTTCCCATTTTTCCCTTATAACTTTTGAACCACACATCCGATTGAAGTGAAATTCGAAACACAAACACTCCTTATGATCTTACATAAGCTCCTTAAGTTTGAACCACCCCTCTTAGATTAATTATTCAAAACTTAATTTTGACACTTTTTCGTTTCTTGTTTTTTTTTCCGATATGTATTTGGCCTTATTTCTGAGATATTCAATGAAATTCGTGACAGTGTAGCACCCGAGGTAGCGGCGTAAATTTCATTTAACGTAATAGCAACCCATGAAAAATAAAACACATTGATTTGTATAAACTGATGTTTCTGAAAATTATCGTTATTATTAAGTTCAAAAGGTATGAGGGAAAAACGGGAAAATAATTCCTACTTTAACGCTCTCTATCTCCGAAACAGTGAGATTTAATAAATAAGTATATATTATGAATGGACATTATTTTAACCTGTTCTATCGATTCTTCAATTTAGCCATATTAAACATGAATCACCCTGTATAAATAAACAAAGCCGTGTCAGGTTAATAGATTACGGAAATCCTACAAGTACACCTACTATGAAATTTTTTAAATTTCTAACTTTGTAATGCTTTTATATCTATCACTATTTGCTTATAATTACGTACTAACACAAATTGCGAAAAACTAGTAGGTATGAACGAATCTCGTAAGAAAAGCAATTTTATTCAACTTTGCTCTTCTAAACTTTTAGAACTACTATTAAAATACTATTAAAAAATAGCATTCAGGAACCATATAAGGTTATTTGTCTTATAAATGTATCTACTTGATAGTTATCGAGAAGATAGCATCAGATGTCGACAAACCAGGCATAAATGCTGTATCTACGAACTGATTCTTTCACTTATAACTAGCTGCCTGCGCTGAAGCCAGTCCTAACACATCGCCAAACCGTTTTCGGGGATTGGGTCACGACCGGCTAACTGGATTTTGCTAATGCTAATACGATTGCAGCGATCGCATTATCTACAGTTAGCCTCTTACTTTGCGTATGGCATCTAATTAAGGAGATACCATCTTGACAGCCACAATTTTCGAGCCGTCATTTATGCTAATGCGTGTCTCGGATGGAAAAAATACGGCAGGCGTGAAACATATTTTCGGTTAATTATTATTTTTGTAGAAATAACCGTACCGGATCCTGAACACGTTAATGACCGCTAAGTAAGGTAGAAGATCGTGTGATGTTGTTGTAGTGTAAATTGTTATGTTTAATAAAGTTTTGCTTTTACTTAATTGCCGGTGGAAAATCAAACTAGATTTTTACAAAGCAGGGAAATAGTGTATGTAGAGCATGTGCTGTTTTATTTACTAAAGAGAGAAATTAGATTTCAATGTCCTTTATAGGAAGATTTTTTGTAGATGCATCAATTTCGTTGCTGTGCATACAAAAGAAATTCTCTGACTTCACAATTCGGACCTAAAATTTGGCACTATATCGATTGCTGGCATAAAAAATTCAGTGTCCTATTTATATTTTCAAGTCGACCTTGGTTTGACCTTGAAAGGTCAAAGTCCAGTACAAGGCTACCGTCATATTGGTTTCTCAATATTCTGTAATCTTCATCTGAAGCTTTTTTAAATATGTCTCAACCCTGAATGATTTTTTGAGACACCATGAATGTACACATTTAAGCTTCACCCTGTATAATATTTGAAATAGAATTTCACTTATACAATCACCCACAGCAGTTTTGGAAAAACTGTGAAACATTTCATATCCAACATTAGCTCAGGGGTATGAGGACTATTAAATAGCCAAGAATCTGTAAAGTTTTTCATAAAATTTGGGTGAATTTTAGTATAATATGTGCAAAACCCACACACCATCAGGTGAGGTTTTTTAATAATTAACAATAAAAGATCTAAAATAACCCAAAATATCACTTTTTGGCTACCAGAAAAAAACGATAATTTTTATTATAATGTGAAAGTAACCAACTTGTAGGGAATAAAAAACCCTTTAAAATGGCGGTTTTTAAAATCCGATGCGTTAATTTGTTGCTCGAGAAATTGCAAAAAACTGTCAAAATTCGATTATTACTAAATAAACAATAAGTTTTGCAAAAGTCAATCTACGACTTTGATATTGCATAAATAGTTGGCTTTTATAGTCCTTAATATGTGATTAAAAGTTCAGACCGATTCATCCAACAGTTTTTGCAAAATTCTAAATGTTTATCCCAGAGGCATTATTTTTGCAATAATTACCAAGATATTTATTCTGCAGGTGTCATATGAAAGAGAAAGGCTTCTTTTATTGGAAGAAATTATTTTATTGCAAAAAAATTGTTTTTTACCAGCACTGTAAAAAACGTAAAAATTATAATAAATTTGTTGCTATTATATTTAGAGAGATTATTTTACCATATTCGTAAAGCTGGTATTTTTACTCAAATTTAAAAAAAAAAGTTGCTCTAACTTAATTTGTGGCAAAGTTAAACACTTTTTTTTTAAAATCACAGTTACTTGTTATAAATTAAGACTTCTAATAAGTGCCATTTCGAAAATAAAGAGCTAAAGTTTCTATGTGAAATTTTTGAGGACGATAGCTTTGTAACAGTATCTCTGTGAATGCTCCAAATAATGACTTCGACACAAGATGACTGTGAGTCAGTGGAGGAGGAACCTACAAATCCACGAGCAAATTGATAAAGCAAGTTATATCTCTGGAACTTGTTGACCGATTTTGCTGTTTTTTTTTTTAATTTGGGGTATCTTTTTGCGTACATCAGAAATATGCATTTTGTTAATAAATAAAAATTTAAATTAATCCAGTAATTTGTTTAAACATTAACAAATTTTTTTTTCTTTTGTAGTTTTTTGTAATGGAACATTATAGGAATGATTAAATATCATTTTTTAATAAATTAATATTGAGATTAAACTTTTACCAAAAAAAAATTCTAAATTATCAACATTTTCGAAGTTATTTTGACGGAAAGTTATAAATATAGGTTCAATTTTTTTCTTATTAATAAATTAACATTAAATAATTGAATAATTTGTTTAATCATTTTGCAATAAAATAATTTCTTGCAATAAAAGAAGTCTTTCTCTTTCATATGACACCCGCAGAATTAAAATATCTTGGTAATTTTGCGTGTCAAGTTATTGCAAAAATAATGCCTCTGGGATAAACATTTAGAATTTTGAAAAAACTATTGGATGAATCGGTCTGAAATTTTAATCACATATTAAGGACTATAAAAGCCAACTATTTATGCAATATCAAAGTCGTAGGTTGACTTTTGCAAAACTTATTGTTTATTTAGTAATGATCGAATTTTGACAGTTTTTTGCAATTTCCCGAGCAAGAAATTATCGTATCGGATTTTAATAACTGCCATTTTCAAGGTTTTTTTATTCCCTACAAGTTGGCTACTTTCACATTATAATAAAAATTATCTTTTTTTTTCTGGTACCTAGGCAAAGAGTGATATTTTGGGTTACTTTAGACCTTTTATTGTTAATTATTAAAAAAAATCTCACCTGAAGGTGTGTGGGTTTTGCATATATTATACTAAAATCAACCAAACTTTATGAAAACCTTTACAGATCCTTGGCTACCAGGTCATTTATTTTCCTCGTATTCCTGGACAACATGTACAAACTCTTCTGTTAACGTGTTCATTTATTACCAAAAATTTTTTTTTTATCTTTTTAGTTTCAGCAAAGGCCACGCAGTGCCTACCCCACGCCAGCGAGATCGAGGTGTCCACCGGCCCCTTTTTCGGCGGCCGCATCGCCGTGGAGGCAGCGGACGGCGAGAGGTGCGCCATCGATGGCGAGCCCGATAGTCCCCGAGACACTTACACGCTGCGCATAAATCACACGGAGTGTGGGAGCCAAGTTAATGAGACCACCGTCGCCACCTTCGTGCTGGTGCAGGAGAACCTGCCCATACTGACCCACAGCACGAGAAGGTAAGCTATACAGAGAGATCTACCTCTACGACATCGATTTACTGGGTACCGCAAGGTACTATTTTGAGCCATGTACGCTATTCATTTAACATTGAACGGTGTATGTATCAAGTCATTAATTTTAATTTTGTTTATTTTTAGGTTCTTAGTGTTGTGTTCTTATCAACCGGAGACACTGACTGTACGGGCAGGTATTAGTTTGCCTACAGGGGGCAGAGGGCAGGCACAAATTGCTGCCCCCTACGAGGATGATAATACGTTAGGCAGAAGAGGACGGATGGGCAGAGTGCTGCAGAAACCGGAAGCCTTAGGTGAGAAGCTTAGATATTTGTAATTGATCGATCAAACACTGAATTAAAAAGTGTTCCATAAAAAAATCGATAAATTTTGGTAACTTGTTAATAGTCATTGAAACTTTTCACCTCCGAATTCTTTGAAACTGAACCGATCGACTCGAAATTTGGCAGATAGTTAGAGAAAAGGTCAATGAACATTAGTGACATAGCGCCGATTGACGCTTCCACCCTGGTGGGGAATGACACCCCTTCTCGGGGGTGGAATTTTTTTTCAAAAATAACGCTGGAAATTGATAGAGAATCAAATTTTCAGCAATAAATATTCGAAGAATTTTTTCGAGAAATCAATAGTTTTTTAGTTATTCACTATTGAAAACTTGGAATTTTGAGTGAAAAAAAAACTTTTTCAAAGTGTTTTTCGCGAATAATTGAAAAACTATGAATTTTATTTAAAAAAGTGTAATGAACAAAAATATAGCTTATCAATAAACAGAGAAAATCGTTTTTTAAAAGTGTTGTACGTCCTATACAAAGCGAAATATGGTTAGTGGAAGGGGACTGGTTTTGGGGGATTATTCGAATCGAAGAATTCTTCATATAACGGGAAAAGGATTAATTTTACGAGTATAACGCTCCGGAAGTTTTTTGTAGTACTCAAAAAGACCTTCAAAATGAGCACTTATAAAAGTTAATTAGAGCAAAATTGAAGGAGTTATCGTCAAAAACAGATGGGTTGCTCATATTTTTTAAGGAAAAATGAGCAGTAAACGCTGTACCATTTCCATCAGAATTAAAATTAATCGTAGACCCTTTACAATTAGTTTTGTTTTAGTGTTTTTCATACGATCCTGAAGTTAGACCGGTTTAGAATGCGTATTTTTTTAATAATGTACGGTAAAAGTTGAAAACGTATTTTTCATTATTCAAAAAAAATTGCCTTATTTATATAATAACTCTGAAACTATGAAAGATACGTAAAAAATGATAGACAACAAAAATGTAGCTTTTTTTTCAACAAATATTTTGCTTTTTTTTATTCCTATAGCATAAAAAATAAAGGAGATATCGCCGCTTGAAGTATCCATTTTAGTGAAAAAACGACCTGTCTCGAGCCCTTCGATCCTTTCCCTTTAAAAAACGAAGGACTTAAAAGGTTTTATATGCAAACGATCTTACAGCTCTTGAAATTATCTTTAAAATGCTTTTTTGTAGGATACTATAGCTTCAAAATTAACCGAGTTATGGTAAAAAAACCAATGACATTTTTTCGGAGCAAAATAGGATTTCTCATTTTTATATGTTATACATTATATTATACAAATAAAATAAGTAAAAAAATTTAGTGTGATTATTTATATGCAGCGTAGCAATTTTTTTATGATTGATTATATTTAAAAATCGATTATAATAAAAATATTTTACATTAATATTGGTAAAAGGGTAGTTTATAAGAGTTGAAAATGGCAAAAGTAAAATATTCTTTCATAAACAATATAAGGAAATTTTTATTTTAAATTATTGCACAATTATAGCATTCCAAGATTTAGAACGTAATTTTTTATAATTTTTTTAGCACAGGGGTGATTTATAAGAGTTGAAAAGTGTTATGAGATACAAATTCTTTCGTAAGCAATGAGGGAATTTTTATTTTAAATAATTGCACCGTTAAAGCATTCGAGGCTTTTAAAAAGTATTTTTTTATCATTTTTGAAAAATACAGGGGTGGTTTTAAGGGGTTGAAAGGGAAACATTATTTTATTAGCTATAAGGTAACTTTTATATTAAATAATTGCACGATTTAATCATTCCAAATATTTAAAAAGTAATTTTTATCATTATTTTTTTGCAAAGGGATATCTTTTAAGAGTTAAATAAAGGGTGGAAAAGATTAAATATATCATAAAACATGTTCGAGAACATGGAACATTATTTAATCTTTGTGCTTGTACAAGATTTCTATCAATAAAATGCTTAAAACTTAATTTTTAAAATTTTTTTCACGTAGAGGAAGTTTTTACCCCTAAAAAACAAAAAGCGTCAATCGGGCTTATGTCACTTTTGAGCCTTATTCTAAATTTTCATGTAAATCCATGCAGTTTCAAAGAATTCGGATGTTACAGCTGATTTTCAGCTTCAATGACTGTATTATAAGTGAACATCACAAAAATCCTATTAACATCCCGTGCCCCCATCGACGGTTAATCTTTTAGGCAAACAAGAACTTCATAAATCTGTTTAAAATTCCGCTATTCAAATCGACTTTTTCAACAATTTAGAAATCGGTGTGCAAACACCATTGTTGAAATTGGTATTGTTCCAGGCATATAGAAATGCTACTGCTACTGACGTAATTTTAATAGTTGCTATTTAGAACAAATATACAATTCGTATACGGAGAAATAGGTAACGCTCGTTGATTTTTGTTCACTCAAACGGAATGCTTAATGAAATCAACACTGGAAAAGCGCCCGAAGCGTGAAAATCTGTATGTGTTTGATTTTAGATGGGTGAATCCACCGAGTTGTGAAATCAAAACAGGAAAATGTTATCTGCATCATAAAACTGTACCTGTTACGGCAGAAGGACAAAATAGTTATTGTTATAAAGTACACAGCACATCAGTAAACCTTCCATGGCCGTGGGGATCAGTTTTTTTAATGGCACGTGTTTCCTTGAATACGAATCTTATTTTTAATCAAACAAATAGTTATAATTAGTTCTTTAAACAGCACTTTAATTCTTGTTTAGGCCTAGCGACGTGTTATTTTAAAGTCATCGTAATTTTTTCATATTAATGTGTTGAAACACATTATACGAGGTATCCCAAAAAAACTCGAACCCCCCGATAACCCTTCAGGATGAAATCCTATCAAAAAGGATTTAAAAAAAAACTTGTAGGATTTCAAAAAAATTAACTTATCTTTGACCTTGACTGCAATTTTTAAGGTCAAATGAAGGTCAACTTAAAAATTTCATATAGAAATTCCTATTTTTTATTTTATAAATCTATAGAGCGTATTTTACGTCTGCTTAAGGAATAAGAAAATTTTTTTTGGTTATCTGAAGGTCATTTCAAAGTCGAATTAGTTTTTTCTTAATAACACGACAGGATTTTAACTGTAGAAAAAAATGTTGCAAGGAATATCAGTAGTACTTTTAATGACAAATTTATTGGTAACCATTTATTTGCCCTTTTGAAATCTGTATTTTTAATGTCAACATCAATATAGCACCAAACGTTCAAGTCCAATAAAAGTTCGTTTAAAGATCATAATAATAAAGATGATAAAGAGAAATAATAAAAAGTTTAAAAAATTAAGAAAAAAATAATAAACAATAATAAAAAGTTGAAAAAATAACAAAAAAGGTTAAAGCTAAGCGTAAGAGCATAAGGATATTGCTTGCAGTTGAAATGACCTACTTATATGGATATCCAAAACGCTCCATTATTTGCGGTTTCTATTTGAAATTTTTAAGTTGACCTTGATTTCACCTTAAAAATTGCAGTCAAGATCAAAGATAAATTCACCACTAAATTGATTTTTTTAAATCCTACAAATTTTTTCTCAAACTTATTTTGATAGGATTTCAGCCTGAAGAGTTATCGGGCGGTTCGGGTTTTTTTGGGACACCTCGTATAATAAATATTAACTACGTAGATACTTGTATGTTACTAACGGTAAGTAAAACCAATTTATCTTTTAAAATAATTATTTTTGCCGTTTTAAAAAAACGTACATAATAAAAAGTAAATAAAAATACTGATCTGATATGAAATATATTTTGAAAATCTTGTAAAATATGTATTACTACATGTTTTGTTTAAATTTGTTAGAAGTCGATTGTGATTTTAAAATTCAGTAATAAAAATAAATCTAAGTAGATCGATTATCTTTTTTGATGTATGAATATTAATTTTAATTATGAATAATAGTTATTAATAAAAATTAAAAAAATTTGAAATCTTGTATAACATTTCAAACTGTGTTGTTGACTAGGATATCATCCATTTTTTAGTATAACTGACAAATTTTTTATACAGGGTGTCTTACTAAGGTTGGCGAGGTACGATATTAGGGAAAGTATAGGCCTTAGAACTTCGGGAAAAAAATTTGATTAATAAATCAACCAAGAGAAATCCTGGAAATAGTTTTCAAGTTCGTAGATCGGCCGCTAGGAGGCGCAATTTACATACCAAAACATAGAGTTGAATTTTTCTCAGAAATGTTTCCTATTCAGGTATATAGTGGAGTCAAGATAGATATTGACTTCGCGTAAATTACTGGAAGAGAGAACATTTTATTTTTCGCTTTGTAAAGTTGTCAGAAACTACATATAAAAAGTTACCAACTGTAGAGTGTACGCTAAATTTTTTATTTAATAAATTAGCTGCAAAATTACAGTTTTTGCAAAATATATAAAAAAATATAATTTAAAAAAACTTAACTGCGCCATTCGAAAGAACAGGAAATTTTACATAAAAAGTGTTATTAAAGTTTTTTTCTATAATGCGAATTGAAGGCTGTAGAATTTTTTTTCTAACGTACGAAAAATGAGACGGGCGGCCCCCAAGTATAGCTCTCGATCGAAGAGCGCGCGGCCCCGAGCGCGCTACATTAAATTGGTTATAACTTTCGATCTAATTGATCAAATCGACCTCACAAAAATTTAAATGAAAGAAGATTCATCAGGCTATCAAAATTTTATGTCTTTAAACTTGAGAAAAAAATATATATATATAGTACGTATACAAAGTTACGTCATTCTTTAATTTTGTACAATAATAATAAAATAGTTGTCATTCTTTTAATTTTTAGAATAAATATCTGTAACTTTCACAGATTACTCTTCAAATGACGATTGAAACAGTGAGCGATATGGAAAAAATCTTAAATATTTAATTTGAAAAATATTGATCCCAACATATTCAATAATTTAAAAAAATCACAAATTTCACTTTTTTAGGCCATACTTTATAGATCAAAAACTATAGTTGTAAACGTGATATTGAAACT